AATAAATTAAATTTTAAAAAACTTGGACTTTTTAAAATTAAAAAAATTATTTTATTAACTAACTATAAACTATTATTACCGAATATAATACGAATTTATTTTGTTTTTTATATTTCTTTATTCGAACCCGCGTTAAAAGATATATTATTAAAAATATAACTTAAAATAAAAACCGATTAAAACATTTATAAAATCGAAAAAATCTTAAACTCCTATTAAAATAATAATAAATTCGAATACTTCGTTAAATAAAAAAAATACTTATATATTAATAATATTTAAGAATTTAAAAAACATTTAAAAACTATTGTAACAATTATAAATTAATTTTACTACTAATATTTTAACCGATTAAAGTTAAAAAAGCGGGGTCGATTTTTAATAAAGTATTAAAAATATTTTAATCGAAAAAAAAAAAAACTATAACAGATAAAAAATAAATTTATTTAATAGTTAAACGTTTTTGTTTTTTTTTAAACGTTTAAACTTTTTTATCGCTTTTATACTTTCGATTTTACGACAAATTATTTCGATATTACAACGACAGAAAAACTTGCGAATTTTTTATAAATAATTAAACTTATTAAAAATTTCGCGTAATATTTACCGAGTACGTTTTTCCTCTTGTTCTAACTTGTCCTTTTCTTTAATAAATTTTTCGTACTCGCGGAATAACAGATTAAACATATCGTAATAACTACCGTAATTAATATAACTAAAACATTTTAACGAACTAATAACAACAACGTATTTTTTTTTTTTTTTAAAACACCGAAAACAAAATATAAAAATATCGAAACTAAATCGTTTAATATAACGGGCGAAATTTAGTACGTATTAACGCTTACGCGATTTTTACTTAATATAACGATTAAACATAACGAAAAAAGCGAAAAAGAAAAAAAAAACAGAATATATTAAAAAAAAACACTTATTATTTATTATTACGGATAATAATTTTAGAAAAAAAAGGATAGTATTACGAACTAATAGAAGGATAGCCCGTTAAAGGGCTAAACGTGATAAGGGAGCCAATTAGCTAATAAAAAACAAACCACGGCTACCGGGTACATAATAAAATCACGTAACAGTTTTAAAAAGATCAAATATTAAAAATGCTTAAAACGCTTAAAAGCAAGTTTTTAAAACGCTTAAAAAGCTCAATTATTTAAAACGGCCGAAAAACGTAAAAAAAAACGTCCTAATAAAAAGAAAAAATTATTATATAATTACGATAGATTTTTTTATATTTAATTACTCGTTTTTATTTTTTAACTATTAACTTACTTTTTTATTAAATAATATATTCCTTATTTAAAATTAATTGTTTTTATTATATAATAACAGGGAATATTTTAAAAACTTCCTAACGGACATTTATTAAAGATCCTATTATTACCTGTAAATCAAAACCCCGTACGCTCTCTTATATTGTTATATAGGAGGTCCGTTATATAAAACAATTCGGAATTTAATATTTTATATAATTTTTTAATTAAATAAATTTATTATTAAATTATATATAAATATTATTTTAATTAAAAAAATAAAAAATAAAAAATTAATTAATTTAATTATTAAATTAATAATATATTTAAATTATTATAAATAATAAAAAATAAATTAATTTATATAATAATTAAATATTATAAATATATTATATACGAATTAATAATATATATTAATTTATTATAACTTTTTATTAAATTTATTAATAAATATAAAATATAAATATATTAAAACAATTTTATTAAATTTTTAAAAAAGTTTTAAAATATTAAATTTATAAATTTAAAAATAATTAATATAAAACGTATTAAACGAAATATTTAATTAAATAATTAATATATTAACACGTTTTATTTTATTTATAAATCGTATTAAAATTAAATAATATAATCAGGTTTAATAAAATTAAGCTAATTGTTACACGTTTAAATTAAACCTGATACACGCGTAAGTAAGTTTTAAATAAATAAAATAGCCGCACTAACTAGTTTAATTTTAAACACATTAAAGTTAACCTTAATAGCCTTATAATAAAGAGTGCCTGTTTACAAGAAACATGAGCAAAATTGCTCCGAAAAAGTATTAACTACTTTATTTATTACTAATTTATATAATAACGCTTGGAAATGTATAGTAAGTACGGACGTAGGTACTCGATATTTCATTGGGATAGCTTGGGTTATTGTACAAATTTGTGGGATTAATACCCATGAGTGTACTCTCATATTCACCAGCGTAGTCTCTCAGCTCGAGAAACTTATCCGCTAAAGACCCAACACCAATCAATACGGTAGACCAAGTAGAAATTTAGAATTACAGAATTTTAAGGGTTAAACATCGCACGCCGTATCCGATCATTCACTATCCTCCACATCGCCAATCCACCATCGCCACTACGGCGTCTCAATCAGTAATTGCCACTTGAAGTCCAATTGAGGGAGCTCATCAGGAATGGGATTGGTCCGATGTTATAGTAGGAACTTACCAGCACCTTGCACCAGAACACAGTTTCCGTAGTACCAAGTATAGCTATAGCAGCATATACCACGAATTTCGTAATGCGATTCATACCAAGATCCCGAAAATTGAACTTGAAATCATCTTCTGACGGTGAAGTAGTCTGTGGATTGCTCGACGTTGCTTGCTCGGTTGATCCGTGCTTACTCGCATTATCGGTGTCGTCTTTCTTGGTTGATGTAGACGTAAACCTTGATGGGGCAAGGCCAATGATTTCTGAAGGACTCCTTTTTGATCTGATGCAGAGGGATTGTATTGCGTTTACGTTGGTAGTCCTCCAAGAATGGATTGAGAGTGAGGGTATACACAGGTGCCTGCGTGTAAGTGGTACCCCAGCTCTTAAGGTAGTTGGTGTATAATGCAACTTCAGCATCGCGGAGACAAGTAACACAAGTGTTGTTTACGATTTTATTAATAGAATAACAAGTGAAAGAAGGCAAATAGTGGGAAGGAAAATAAGAACAGAAGAGGTATCCTCATATCATTTTATATAAATCGCTGGGCTCTACACCTGGTACTCAGAGAGATGCTCTCATGCCTCGTTGCGTGCGGTCTGATACGCGGTATCCATCCATGTAAGGTCTGAATACGCCGTATTCGATATGAAGCCTAACCCTATGTAGTCTCGTTTCCTGCGTAGGCAATTGGCGACAAGGCATAGCCAAGATTACCAGGCTCGGTAATTTTTTTACATTAGATATTTTCAATTTGCCAAGTAATGGAAGCAGAATAATAAAAGAATGCTGCCAAAATTGATTACCTCCTATCGCCGTGATGAGAAATAACCAAGAGTAAGTAGTACTGCCCTGCCCAGCGTTACCGGAGGGCTAGTATGAAAACCGCCCGCAGTGGACTGCTGACTTTACATATATAGACCTCCGACTAATTGAGATTCCACACCGTATCAAGCCCAGGAGAAGGCACTGATGGTGTAGTGGTAACATTCAGACTTCCCATAAGTTGTCTGTCTGAGCCCCGGGTTCGATTCCCGGTCAGTGCACGAATGCTTCGGATCTACTTTTTCTTCCTTTTTCTTTTCTCAATTTGACGAAATTTTTGCTTCAGGTGTTACGGCTACTGCAGGAGAAATCTCCAAGCTTAGATACTAGTTTTTTTTTTTTTTTTTTCCAACTCTTATTACTAAAAATTGCGAGCGATTTCAGAGACTCTCTCATCAATCCAAAGCGGGGTAGATCGTTGTGTGGTGGGGTGAGAGCACCGGCGATGACGGGACCTCGGGACGTCTAGGTAAGTAAAAGGTCAGCTGTCAGCAGCAAACGGGGAATTCAATATAGCGGGGCCCTTCTGTTCCCGTCCCTGCCACTTGTGTCTCTCTAGAAGCCAGGATCACTCAAGAGTACCTATCTCCACCCAAGGTATCAAGCAACATTTCGAACCCGCCCTGCCAAATACCCAGAACCCTTACCAATACATCGATCCAGACCTCTCATACCCGTGATCGTAATCGCCACTATTATATCAGCTAAGCAAGGCAGCCGAGGCCCGCCATGAGCGGCACCAACAAAGGCGGCAGCGATAAGATCGACAAGATCATCTCGCGACTGCAGCAGCGCATCGGCGAGGGGCAGTTCTACGAGGCCCAGCAGCAGACGCGCGTGGTGGCCGCGCGCTACACCAAGGCCGCCAACTGGCCCGCCGCCATCGACATCCTGTACAATGTCGCGCAGTCGCTGCTGAAGGCCGGCCAGGGCGGCAGCGGCGGCGACCTCTGCGTCCTGCTCATCGACACCTACAAGCAGGCCGCGCTCACGCCCGACGCCGCCACCAAGGGCAAGCTGCTCACGTGTCTGCGCTTGTTCGACAGCGAGGAGCCCACGCGCAAGAAATACATCGGGGAGATAATATCGTAGGTCTCACGGATTAATTCTATCCGGCTGCCGGGGCATTGTCTATAGAGCTAGGGAGAGCTACGGAACCGTGCTAACACGGAGGTTTCAATCGCCCGTAGATGGTCCTCAAGGTTCGGTGAATACCCCGCCGGCGACCCCGAACTCCACCACGTCGCCGGATCTCTATACGCAGAAGAGCACGAAGCCTACGACGCCGAGAGGCACCTGATATTGGGCACGAAAGAGTCCGCCGAGGTGCTAGCCCGCATGGAGTATGAGTGGTTCAAGGAGGACGAAGCGCACACGGCCGCCCAATACGCCGGCCGAGCCGTACTGCCATACCTAATAACGGCGAACGTCCGGGCTGCCAATACATCCTACCGCGTCTTCACCAGCTTGCTGGGCGACGAAAAATCATCCCAGTTGGGCGTCCAAGACGTGAGCAGCAACAGCGCCGACTTGCGCGTGTTCCCAAGCATACCGCTTCTTAACTTCCTCGGCCTGCTGTTGCTTGCCGTCCAGAGGGGCAGCCCGGAGCTTTACAGGCAGTTGGCGACCAAGTATGCTAGTCATATCAAGGAGCTCGAGATGTGGGATGAGGCGCTGGAGATAATCGCCGAGATATACTTTGGCATCAAGAAGCCTCGGCAGAGTAATCCTCTAATGGATATGATGAGCGGATTCTTTGGTGGTGGCGGGGCTCCTTCGGGCGGGAGTTCGCGGCCTGCTGTCAAGGCTCCGTCATCGACGTCGATGCCGGCGGCGGAGGGCTTAGATTAAACGGGTCGTGCTGGGATAACTGTACCATAGCAGGCGTGCGGCATAGAAATGTCGAAGGTTGACTGTCCTGGCTGTGTTCAATGCACGCGTGGTGGTTCTTCGGCCTCGTACATCCAATTGTCTTCCGCCAATGCAGCTACTTTTGCCCTCATGCTGGCTTTAAGTACTTCCAGCACTTCTGTATCTGTCATTAGTCCCTATACTTGCAAGGTACAAGTATTCTCTAACTCACCTTCGGGCTGCGACACCATGCGCGCGTGGTTGATCTGATGGTGCCTGACAGCCTCTGCTAATCTCTGCCGTTCCTCTGTACGTGTACATATCGTCGTAAGCAAATTGTCTTCTCTAATTCTTTCCATTGAATAGATAGAGTAGATCTGGTCACCTACTTTCGTTCTCCTGCGCATCGTCCAGAGCCGCGTCGTCATCGGGGTCGTCGAGCGGCGGCGTGGGCGGGTCCTCGACCTCAATCTCGCCGTTCTTATCACGGATGACGATATCAGAGGACTCGGACGAGACGTCGCCATCGAGACGGAGCGCTTCGGTCGAGGAAGACGTCGATGCCGTTGTTGCTGCCGTCGCGCTTCCACTGCCGACACCGCCTTGCTTCTTGGTCTCGGCGGACGTGGGCCGGCGCGTGAGCCGGCTCTGGAAGAGGTTGCGGCGCACGCCGATCGCGCTCGTGGCCGCGCGCGTGATCCGGTTTGCGCCTAGGCGTAGGTTCGGCGGTGGTACTCGGTCGGCCATTTGTGCGATGGCGACGTGATGTCGTTTGCAGAGGCGGTTAGGAGGGCTGTGGTTCTTAGGATCTAGGCTTTGTGTTTTTGGATGGTGTTCTTGCGCTTCGACGGCGCTAATGATATTATTCGGTAACGCGCGAGGCCAGCGGATTGGAGACACGGTTGTTTTCGAGAGTTTGGCCGTCGAGGAGATCTTTCCCTGGTTTATTTCTAAGTCGTGGGTGCTGAGATCAGGCGTAGCCTACGTAGGTTGACGCTGTGTTGTGATACAAGTCTGCGATGGGGGCAGTTGTTTACCTGCAGTTAGATACCCTGCAGTACCTACGGAGGTGCGGTTCACAATCAACAACCACGCTAACCACTGTAAATACTAGTTTAGCGTGGTTGTTGATTGTGAACCACACCTCCGTACCTCTATGCGACAACCCTGGTGTGGTGCCCCACATTCCCCGTAGCACTAGGGACCGATCCCCACAAGGCGCCAGAAGTAAATAGGCGTCAAGCACCACCCTAGCCATGATTGGAACTTGCCATTTTAGTCAAGAATAGCATCGGCACTAGGTACGGAGTACAAATCTTATATTTCATGATTCGGGCTCAGCTTGCCCAGTACTGTTCTCTTAGTACCACTAAATGCGCAAGCTTCAGAATGTCTTCGCCGGCTTTCAATATCCATCCGATCGCCCGATTCGGCGGGGAAAGCGAAGCCGTCAAGCGGCCTAAGGTGGGTACAGAACCCGATAATACGGCAATGTCAAATGCTCACAATCGATTTTACACGATTCCGCTGCTTCTAGCGAAGTATTTCATGTCAAGTTATATATCCTGCTGACATTTTTCAAGGAATTCGCATGCTTTTCATACGATGGCAAGCATGAGTTTCATCTTGATGACTCATCGATGCAGTGGTACTATCCACCTAGATTAGGAGCGAACTTGTCCAAAGGTTTCGACAAGTTTGACAAGCACGACGAATCAATAGATGAGCATCTAGATAGCTTGCTGAAAACCATCGCGGCCCACGAGAAAGAAGAAGGGAAGAAGATCGACGCCAACGTCGTCACATGGCGCGGCATGATGACTAAGGTAATCTCTCTTAACTATAGATGATATGTATGATAATGATAGTCTAATTTCATCTCATAGATAATGTCTGCCCCGTTTGAGGACAGAGATGGGTACATCAGACACGACATAGACAATACAATAATGCCAATTCTAACCATACTGTGTGTACTAGCTTTGAGATGACCGCAACCCTCTATGAAGTGCGTGAAACCGCTAACACTCTCGGGAACATGTCTGCTAATACTGTAAAAGGACTGCATGTATGGCCCCTCGTCTACCTACGTTATTCCGGATCGAAAAAGTTTAACGAAATGCAGTTTTATCGAGGACAACTACCAGGCCAAGCAAATCGCTAAGGAACAACAAAATCAACAGCAGCGGGGACGACGAGGCCAACACTCCCCTGAAGTCATGACATATTGGGGTAACGCCAACTCCAGCCCAACAATATATAACCAGCGCAGATACTCATTATGTATACAGGATATAAGTTTGAGGCACTCTCTTGTCTCCCGCGGCCTTGGGCCGAGGTCACACGCGACTTCATCGAAAGCCGTGATGAACATACGGTCAGCAACAAAGCACAGTACTGTTCGGTTGTACGCACAGGCATAGGCAAGACTGTCCTATGCCTGGGTGGAGAAGTCGATGCCAGTAAGTCTTCCCGGATCGTAGTTCTAGGCGAAGGAACTGAACGTGGAAAAACAAAATTTAATAAATAACATTGACATTATATCCAGTCTGGGATTCTAAGCCCGCGGAAAAAGGGGCACCGATCAACTGGGTGGAGTTGAAAACGAGTGTCGAGATCCGCGACGACAGAAGCATGAATAACTTCGAGCGCAAGCTCATGAAGTTCTGGATCCAGTCCTTCCTGCTCGGCGTACCTAAGATCATCGTCGGCTTCCGCTCGCACGACGGCATCCTTACCAAGCTGGAGGAGATCCAGACGGCTTCGATCCCAGAGACGGCTGCGAAGCGCGGCGTGCGTAGCTGGAACGCTAACACGTGTATCAATTTCGCGAACGCATTTCTCGAGTGTAGGTTTCTTCGCCTCAGTCTGCTTCGACCGTCGCTGTGGGGACTGGCCAACTAACTTGAGCTTAGGGCTGAGAAATACGATCGACGATGAAGGCGTGTGGAGGATCAGCCGGCGACCGGGCTCGTCGACTATTGAAGTCTTCAAAGCCGAGGAAGTCGGGCACGGCAGCATCCTTACGGAGGAGTTCATGAACTGGCGGATAAAATTACGCCTGAACAGCAATGACGCCTCATAATTCATCAATTGCCGTGCTTGCTGGTCTATAGAGATCTAGTCTGCTCAGTTTACACCCTTTAGCCAGCTCTAGGAACGCCCTGCTCCACCCCATAGATACCCTTACTTATTGTCTAGTCTTATGTAATTTCTTTATAAGTGCGGCATAGTTCACAATTCTAATAACTACACTTCTCGTTCCACGTCTAGCTTTCGCCGTGTAGGGTTGTAGTCGCTAGCGCTTGATGTCGTGCCGTAGACGGGCTTGCTCGCGTGGGGATCTATGCTGCCGTGATCGATCCCGAAA